TCCGATGAAAAGTTGCGCAAGGCGACTATCTTTAATTTGAAACCACCCCGAGCTCTATACTTCTTCTAACAATGGAGTTATATCGATTCTCCTGGAAGGTAGAAAAACAAACCGAAAATTTGGTCTAGTGCGGCATATCAGGCTGAAATTTTTACCAGAAGCGTTTCTCACCAGGATAAGCCATCTCTGAAAATTTCAGCTCAAATGTACGATCCCAAGTGGGAAACCGTTTCTGGGAGTGTGGGTGGAGGGGGGCTTAAATTCATGTTGACTCTAGAAAAAAATCAATTAAGTTTTCTTCATTTTGCTTGATGAACTCATTAAAATGTCCGTTGTATATCAATGTTGCGAGAAAATCCATGTTCTTTAAAAATGAAGATGAATTTCGGATTGTTTTTTGTCTTTTTATCTTGGACTTTTTAGTTATTAGTAATGTGTCTTATTTTCACAATGAAACAATTCATTGATTTCCGTTGAATTCATTTATTCTATTTGCATCATTTCGAAACAAACAAGAGTCATACGTAAAAAAATATATAAATAAATACTTTTTCAAAAAAAAATGCAGAACAAAAGAACATCTTCTATTTCGTGAGCTTCTCGGTTTTAATTCTTTTTGCTACCATCTTTTTTTAATTCAATACCCCACATAAAAAAAGATATTGATAATTCTCGAAGAATGACATTTTTTTATTAATACACAAGAGTACCGAAAAACTTCTATTCATCATGCAGAAGAAAAACACAATCAGGCTTCTTCTTTTTTATTTATTTGAATCAACACAAAGAAATATATTTCATATAGATTTGACAAAATTATTGATTATTTCTCTGATGTTGAATTTCTCTTTCTTAGTATTAGTTTGATGACCGATTCAAAGACAATGAATTCCATAGTTCTTCTTATCTTTCTTTATGGTTTGGTATATATTGTTGACGCGAATCATTTTCTTGGTGGAACGATTACATGGCATGTCTTGAATGGATCCGCTACTGGAACACCTATTGCCATCGTCATTACACAAACTTATTCATGGACATATTCATTGATAACATGTACTAATACTCAGATTGCTACTAGTCAATTGATTCCTGTTGGTGGTGCATATACACGACTTTTGACGGAAACGCTTGATTGCATTGCTAATTGTGCTAGTGGTACAACTGGTTATGTGGCTCCTAACATCGTACCTCGATGTTCTGATATCTCAATCCCTCTTGGAATTACAATTGGACAACGTTCTGACACTGTCTTTTTACAATCCGGCAGTGATTTTTCCGTTGCCTATCAAGATTTTAGCTGGCGATCTCTAGTAGTAGGTGCTGCTGCAAACTGGTCTATTTCTTCACGTATTAACTTAACACCAAGATCTGATAATGGTCTCTACAATAATGCTCCTGTTGCTACTCTCATGTCTCCTATCAGTATTCCTCGTAATCAATCAATAGCTATTCATATTCCAGTAGCCGATCCTGATGGAGATATCACACGTTGTCGATGGTCGACATCATCGAATGGAGTCGATGAGTGTAGAGATACTTGCTCACCTAACTCATTACCACCTAATACAGTTATTTATCCAAATTGTACTATTATAATTATAGGACAGACTGTTGGAGATTGGTTTGCTATTACTCTTATGGTTAGACATGCCTTTCTTCATCTCCTTCACAATTTATATGATTCTTTTTTATGTCTAGGTCGAAGATTTTATCAATTTATCGAGCACTACTCCTCTAAGTTCAGTGCCTGTTCAATTTCTTGTTCAAGTAGTTAGTCCACCAACATGTACCATTCTACCTGAAGTTATTGGAATACCAGTTGAACAAGCATGTATTCCAGTGATAGTTGGCCAAACATTCAACTCACAACTCATAGCAATCAATAACTGTGGATCAAATGTGACTATTGTTGATATTGCAACACTTTCATTTGCTGGTATGAGCAAAGGAAACATCGTTCGACTAAATATGACAACCTACTACAAGACTTTTTCATGGACACCGACTACTAATCAACTCGGCATTCAAGTTCAGTGTGCTATGGCTATCGATAGGTATTTAAATGTGAATGATAGATTGAGAAATTTGTCAGAATTCTATTAGATAGTTATTAGGCAATAGGAGGAAGGAAGATGTTCGAAAAAAATAATTAGTTCTACCTATGTAAACATCAGACGCAAGATATACGCATTCAGCCGCAGTTGTGTTACAAACCGCGCTCAGACGCGGTTAAAATCGATTTTTGATGCAAGCAAACGTGATCTCATTCACAGTCGCGCCCCTATGCAGCTAAAGAAAATTTTCAAGTGCGTCTGGACGCGGTTTTCTATGAAACCGCGTGCAAACGCGTTTAATAAAAATCTATTCTAACGCATCTGGACGCGATTTTGGATAAAATATGCCGAGACGCGGCCAGACCGAGCTATGGCCTGCAGCTGGACGCGTCTTTTTCTGGAACAGCGTTCCCATGTGTATATTAGACGCAAAATATGCGCGTTTCACTGCGGTTTCGTTACAAATCGCGTCCAGATGCGTTGTAAAACGAAAATGCACCGCGTTTGAACGCAATTTTATATGATATGCGTCTAAATGCGGTTAAAACCATTTTAAAACGCGTCTGCACGCAATTCTATTTCTAACCACGTCTAAACAACTTTGACTGCTGCAATTTAGATGCAAACATAATGCGGTTCAATCATGTTCCGATACAAAAAGTATTTAGGTCAGAGTGTAAGTGAAGCGAGAAAAAGTAAACTATTAAAGATCAATGTGTACTTCTCATAATTTAAAAAGTCAAGCACTCATCTGGGCTATACATTGTCTTCAATAGCAATCTATCGATATATATTCATAAAGTTTAGAGATATGCATTCCTCTATAAACAGTTATAAAGACGTGTATCAAAAATGTCTTGGATATGTATGAATAGTGAATTACATATTAGAAATTTAGAAGATTGTCTAGATGTTATTCATAGGATCAGAATACCAGGTTAAACTATCTCTAGAATTTTGTATTTCGGACGTATGAAAGAGATTGCATCTTCTCCTTATCAATTATTAATTAATTTAAAAAAGTTGTTCACAACTAGAATAATCGATGTTGATATTTAAAGTCTCTGCACATATATCATAGACATGTAAAACGAAATCTACATCTCATTTTTTTCGATGATTCCATTTGGTTTACCATCATCCGAATCATTTGACATAATAACGGGTGTCCCAGAATAAATTATACCATTCGTATTTTGAGTATAACTCTTCTATTATCCATTAGATCGGGACATCTTTTTATACTAAAAGATAGCGCTTGAAATTCTCTACAAAA